CCCGCCCTGCGCTCCTTCTCCTCCGTCCCCATCTTTGGCTGCGAAGGGTTTGGGGAAGGGGGGGACCGGGGTTGGTTTTGTGGGTTTGGGAGGTATTTCTTGTTCCCCCTGTGGGAAGTGGCTGAATTGAAGATGAGTCTAGAAAGAAATGCTAATCAGTGTCTGGGGCTTCCCGACTGCACAGCGATGGAGCGGTAAACAAAGGAGCAGTCCCAGGGTGCACATTTCCCTTCTGCCACCCCCCACCCCCACTTTTTTTTTGTTTTTAATTTGAGCCAGAAATGGCCACGTCTGACCCACCGTTTGGCAGAAGGATGCCCATAGCTGAAGGCATTGCTGCATAGGGAGCGCCGATGACTTCCCCTTGTTTAGAGGATTGCAAAGGGAGGGTCAACATAAATTGCTGTGTTACTGCAACTCCCTTCCCGCTGGGACTTGCCACGGTCCCACCAGGCTCTTCTGCAGGCCTGGGCTCAGGCTTGGGTGCTCGTTCCCTTGGGGCCGCTGGTTTTTCTGTTTGCATGGTTTTCATCATGACTAGGGCCTCTCTCAGACCCGGCAAGAGGATATTTTTGGGCCTTTTGTGGGTTTTTCTCTCCCCTTCCTTTTGCTGCTATGCTATTCTCAGATAAGGTGTTGGGATGTGCTTTCTGGTCCTCAGCCATTTTGTACATTGAGGCCTTCCAGGGAGGTGTTGGCGAGTCCGGTCGGTGAAACGTTGGCTGGGTGGAAGGGGGAGCTTTGCCGTGCGCTGCAGCGGGTTGGGGTCTTCGCAGGGAGCTCGTGTGTGTCGTCCCCACCCCACCCTGGGAAATGGGAGAAGAGAAGAGGGAGCATCTGCAGAGCTGGGTTGTGGCTGTAATGAGGAGTGTGAAGTCCAGCGCTGGGACTCCTGAGCATCCTCCATGCTCAGGGTCATCCTCTGGAGTTGTAGATGGTTTGTGTCGCAGAAATCCTCCAGAATCGTGTGGAGGGGCTGAGTGTTCGCGTTGCAAGGCGGGTGCTTGCTGAGGATGGGGGGATGTTGTGTGCAACGTGCGCTGCATGCTGTTAAATGCAGGTGACACACCAGCCTGGGGACACTGGGGTGACAATGACAGAGGTGGAAGGGGCTGAAAGCCAAATGTCAAGGGTAGCCCTGACTGTGAGGGCTTTATGAGCATCTCTGACTTCTTCAGCTGCTCTGTCTTAACTTCTGACCCATTTGCTCTCCGCGGTGGCATTTGCTTGGGCAGCCAGTGATCCTCACGGGACAGGAGAGGGGACATCCCAAAGGGACCTCCTACCGGGGGAATGCCCCGTCCCCGGTGCCAGGCTGGGGTGGCCCTTGGCTCTCACCAGGGAGCCGCATCCCCCCAGGTGCCTCCCCCTCCCTCAGCCCAAACAGCTGCATTTTTCCGGGGCTCGTGACTCCGCTCGTACCTGCCGGGACACCACGCCGAGCCGTGCTCTCCCATTAGGAACCGCTGGCCCGGGATGTGCTGGGAGCTGGGTGGCCTCACCGGATCACCTTGGGGCAGATGCCCGAGCAGGAGGGAGATGTAACCACTGCAAACCCATCCTCTGACCCCTCCGCTCACACACCCGTCAGGAAATGGAGGCTGAATTCAGGGCTGAGGTGGTAATTGCGCCAATGTCTGTGAAGCATCGGTGATATAATTAATTTTTTTACAGTCGATCGAGAAGTTATATGGAATCCAGTCTTCTGAACTACACATAGCATAGGTTTAGCCCTCGTGGTTTGCTAATGTATTGTTTACCATATCCTTCAGCTCTTTAAATATTGTACAAAGTCACCAGGATAAGCCCAGGCACCAGTTATCGCCCTACGCTGCCCGGGTGAGCCTGGTACAGCCCGTGGCAGATCTGTGTGTGTTTGAACGGGGCAGGGAGAGGGTTTCCTGCGGTTCTGTGACTAGAAGTCTGTAATCCAGACAGACAGGGCAGATGAAAAGCTTAGTGGCTGCTTATTCAAAGATATGGGAGGATGAAGAGACTGGCTCAAGGTCATAAAGTTTGTATGGGGGAGCGGGAGCCACCCCCGGTGTCCCCATGGCTGGTGCAGTGCCCTACCCGCGTTATTGGGGTCACACCGTCTCCTCCGCCCCCAACCCCCGTTTTATACCACAGCCTTGAGCACAAAAACACCTTTAGCCTTCATACTGCAGGAGTGGGAATCCCGAGGGAGACTGTGGATGGGAGAGCCCCATCCTGCCACCGTTTCGGGCTGTGCACCGCTCAGCCCCTCCATCCCGGATCCCATCTACCGGCATCTCTATTTCTCTGCTCCCGCTACTCACAGGGGCTTTCTTGCGTGAAGATTTAGGACCTGTTTCCAGTGTGAGTGAGTCTGTGACCATGCAAGGTCGGAGTTTAGCTTGTAGACACACTTATAGACCCCACTGCATTTTTAGGTGTGGGGTTGCTGCGCTGCCCGGGCAGCCTCCCTGCGCCCAGACGCCAGGACACAAGCTGTAGAGACTCTTCCAGCATGGACATGTTTTAATAAATAAGAGAGGTTCCTCTGTGTAAGTACCGGTGACAAATGCCTGTCTGCAGAGGGCCGTCTCCCAGGCTGGTATTGCACCAGGTGACTGGTGCGCCGCCTTGAGATGCCCGTGCAAGTTGCATTTATTTCCAGTGCTGCATCCTAGATCCGATCCGTCTGATTCCTTTCCCCACCTCTTCTTCCAGTCAGCGCTCATTCCCTTTTGCACCATTTCATGCATAAGAAACCAGGGAAATTCAGAGCAGCTCCCATCCCCAGCCCCAAACTCCTTAGTGTGGTCCTATCTCAGATGTTGCCTCGGTAAAAGCCCCGTTACCTCTGTGAGCAAAAGCGCTATTTTATATTGCTGTGTTGTGATTCATTTTTATACTTACTAACTCTTCCTACACTGACACAACTGGGTGACCTGCTCGAGGTGGCTGGGTGTGCCTACAGATTATATATAATATATATACATTTTGCGCAGCCCCATGGACAGCTGAGCCTGATGGGTCCCACTTTTCAGCATGGCCGGAGGTGGACTCTGCCTTCCAGAGGTCTGAGCCTCCCCTGTCTCTCACCTTCTCCCAGGATTTCTCTCAGCATCTTTCTTTTCTATTCCCCCTCCTCCCTCCACCCCCTTTTTTTTTTTTTTTCTTTTTTTTTTTTCCCTTTTGGCAGAGCCGCGGCGGTGCAGCACATGGCCTCATTCTGTTCAAGGTTGAGCTGAAACTGGAAAAGTTGAGCTGTGCCTAAATAGCAGGCCAGGCTTTTTGAGGGATGTGCTCTCCGCACAGGGAGGCATTTGGCTTCCAAAATGCTGCCGTTTTCTTTCTTTTAATAATTGAAATATTTTGGTTTTTCTTCTAGTCCTTTTACCGTGCTTGCTGTAACCTGCCCTGTGCTCAGTGGTGCTGAGTTTGAAGGGCTGTGATCCTCGAAAGTGCTTTTTTGTCCCTGCCTGCCATCTTATTTCAGGAGGGATTGCTGTCTTCTGTGCCAGGTACTTGCAGGGGGCACCCCTGGAGCCCGATGCATCTGGAGGGACGTTTGCGGATCCCTCGGGTGAGCAGCTCCTGTTCGGCCCCTGACCTGAAGTGCGTGTGGGATATTTGGATTTGGGGCAGTAGCAAGAAAACAGCCTGTGTTCCCAGACTTTTAAAGCTGTGTGCCCAGGGCCACTGTAATTCTTACATTTCCTACTTTGAATTTACAACCTTAATGCGTCTTTTTAACTGCGTTAAAAATAGTTTGGGTGCATTTTTTATCCGCATACTGTGCACCGTACATTCAGTTAATTAAGCAAGTGCAGGGACTTAAATTATAATAAGGAAGAACATTTCCTCCCCATCTAATTCTATTAAAATTTCCTTGTGCCATCCCCATCCCATTTGTTCTTCCCTTTTAACCCAGCCAGAAGCCACCTCTCTCTCCAGCAAGTCTCCCCTCTGCCCTGCCCGCATCCTGGCATGGCCACGGCTGGCGCGGTGGGAGGATGGAGAGTTGATGCAATTGCTGCCCTGAAGGTCCAGCCTTCCTTGGTGCAGAGGTGGCCTCTTCTGTGACTCCTTCCCCTCCTCAGGGACTGATGAAAACACGGTTGTTTCATACAGATCCATTCCCAGATAATCCTTTGCATCAGCTTGGACGGCTCTGGGAACCCCCAGCCGTTTTTGTGCTGCCTGGGCTGGGTTTTTAGGCAGCTCTCACATTTTGTTTTGTTCTCCACTTAAACTTTTTTATACTTGATTTTACGGCGTTTGCTAATCAGGGGTAAATTTCCTTTGAC